CTGGTTGGGGAGAGGCATAGTACATGCTGCAATAAATGGCTGTCTGTGATCAACCATATCTGCAACATACACTCACACCAATGACAGCTGTACACGGAATGTCTGCATGGACCAACTGACCAAGAGCGAGACTGGATAAAGCCAGGTAAAGAGATACATGATATATGACTTTCGCAATTGAACATATGCAGAAAATGCTTCTGAAACTGACAGTATTTCTGTCAAGAGAATTCATTGAAAATTTCAATTCCTACTTAAAAAAACCATAATGACAATTTTTCAATATCAGCACAATTCCTGAACTTGTTCCGTTTTGTGGGAAGCCGTGCTTACAAGGCAGTGAAGGAAGTTGTGGAAGACAAACATCTGCTGCGTGCTATTCCTAAATTGTCTCCACTCTACCAGACCTATATATACACTTGAAGTTTTCCACAATGTGGGGAACCACTTTGCACCAAAGTCACATCACTACTGCTCCATTTGCTGCCTGTTTTTCTCAACACATGCCTTTCATCCACACATCTACTTTTCCCCTCAACATTTGTTAAGACAAAAGTACTTACATGTACATTATTATTGAATATTTACAGGAAAATTATTATTATAGTTGCAAACAACTATATACTGCAGCTGTCTTATAAAATGTTTCTAAATCAATGTCAAATTTATTCACAGATTATGTGGACTTCTTACTGACTGCCATTCTTGAGAGGAGAAAGAGGTTTTCTTCTTGTCGACTCGCAGGACATGACTTTGAGAGGCTAACTGCTAATTTTCCTGAAGTCAGTAGTGCATAATATGTCTAAGGTCTGTAGTATTTATCTGTTTGAATCCTGCAACTTCTTCGGATGGACAAAGTTTCCAAATTGCGCCATTCATGATGTTATCATGGAGGAATATTTCATACAAAACTTACTTGTAATTTTTACCACTAGAAGCGATATATTAGGATCCAGATATTAGGAAAATATACAATAGAATAATAGTTTCATCATGTTCAGTGATAGCTTAGAGAAAGACTCCATTCAAAAGTAATAAAAACTAATCTCACAGACATACTATTCAAAAAGGTACACGTTATGACAGCATAGTTCAAAAGATGTTTCTAGATAAATCCTAGCCTAAGGTAATAATGACTCATCTCTTAGACACACTTTTAGTAAGACCAAACCTATGCCTGCACTGTTTAATAAATTGACATGATTTATTTTATAAGGTAAACATGTCATCATCTATATTAGCCATTTAGGCTCATTAGATTTAACCCAGAGAAAGCACATCTATTGTAATACCATAATCATCCAAGCATCCAGTAAATTTAGATAAGTAGGATAAGTACTCTCCTCTGCCTGGTCATTTCACTTATTTCAGGGTATTATTTATAGGGCACACCCCATTTTGTATCATTACAATCTTTTTATTATTTCAATTTTAGATAAATAGTTTAGCAATAAAAATGTTAGGCAGTAGGGTTTAAACTATCCCAACGGAGGCCAGCTCCAGCCCTCAGCCCACAGGGTTGTACAACCGATTGTACACCCCATGTTATTCTGTTCTTGTTAATATGAGGTCAGTTAGCTTTTAGTGACTTCGGAGTCTTTTTACAATTTATCAGCTGTAACATAAAGCATAAATTGATACAGCATAAATTGATACCGGTGGACGGGTTTGTCAATTTTGGTGGTAAATATTAGGGCTGTAACGATCCGTCAAACTATCGATGGATTGCAATTGTTGAATCTCCGATAACAATTAATCGATGGTAGAAGCGAAAAACTATCGATGCATGTGTGACTATCGATAGCTTAGTAATTGACTTCCGGTGATAGATGCGCAGCGCTAAATACAGGAACTGCCAGATTCGTTCACTTTGATTTAGGGTTATCCGCCCTTGTTACCTCTTAACAAACTTGATAAATGATAAATGTACCTAATTTGCATAAATGAATGTTTATAACATCACATACAACACCATTCCAGCCAGTTTATAAATAATCTAGTTTTGATGTTTGAATAATTATATTCGAGTTTGTGACCATTGAAGTGCATGAATGTTTTAACGAAGTGATGAGGGTACTGTATTGTTCCATGCCTTTAGTCTATTATATATAAATGATTTTCTCACCATCCAGCTCAAAACAACATCTGTTCCTATCATTTTTAACAGTGGACTGAGTATTAGGTCCATTCATCACAAGTAGCGCATGTGCATAGTTGAAGTGACTGGATGCCCTCTATACTCAAATGATGTGGATAACCAAAACCAGCATATCATTTATGTTATTCTGACATCCATAAATTCTCGCCTTTATGCGTATCACTTCTAAATGACGTTCAAAGACGATATGATAAGAAAAATAGAAATTTCATACCATTCTGGATACGTCTATCTACACTGTTGAGTACATACATACATGCATCCATCCATCCATCCATAGATACATACATACATTCATTTGTATAGCGCCGATATCCAGCTGCTCAAAGGCGCTTTGTTTTTTTCCCCGATCACTGGATGTCAATCTCAACGGCACGTCGTATTTTCAATCTCAACTCCCTGGGGACCATACAACCCCCTGGGCAGTATACAGAACAAAGAAATAATTCATATAAGTAAATGTCTATCTATGATATGCGGACACATATTGGGGTTTCTCTTTAACAGTGTTTACCGTTGCGAGAATGCACCACCGTCGTGCGATTGTTTACCTATATATACATTAGCGCTGGAACACATTTGAACGTATGAGCCTTCACACAGTAACTAAGCGATTGTTACTTAATATATGTGTATTTCGTGTGGTGAGTGTGTAGTAATATCTATTACTACATTATATACTCTTAAACAAGTAGGGGAACTTCATGTATATTTTACAATTGAATAAACTGGAAGATATATTGCAGTCATATACAATGTTGATATGATAATAATGAATGTTTTGAGAGTGCATCACCACTTGCACTTCCTCTTATGACCGTAGTTGTTTGTACAGTAATCGCTCTTGAAAGATGATTGGTGTATGACATGAACTGTCAGTTTCAAACAAAAACAAAACAAAAACGGCTAGAAACAAAAGCTAACAACTGTATGATGCAAGATGTTTGTCAAAATTAATGGTCCACAGTGATTTATCGACCTCCTTGAAATCCGTCAAAATCAAGATTGACATCCAATACACGTATATGGGGCTACTGCGTTGTGCACGTGCATCCCATGCGTTGTGTTTAGGGGTGGTGATAAAAAGAAATGGTGGAGCGTTCATGAGATGTCTTTCTGTGTTAACGCTTAAACTTCCTATCATAAATGAAAGTTCAGGTTCCCCTACTTTTCTTAACAGTATAGATCGCGTTTGGGTAGTAAGGGCCGTGCCCGGAGGTTTTTTCTGCTATAAAGGGATACACAATGTTTACTGGATATCTTGCACTTTGGACATACACTGAAACAAGTTTTTAAGAAATTTATTGAAATGGTTCGCACTATTACACAATCACTCACTCACTCACTTCTGAAGCAGAACTTTATTGTAATAAGACACAATCTGTATCAGCGTGTTCACTCCGGTTCCATAGTGTGTATCTACCATTCTCCCTTCTTGAGAAGATGTTCTATATAGTTATAAACAATCTGCATTTTGAGCATGTTCACTGCGGTCCCATAATGCGCGCCATCATACGCCATCACTCCATTCGTAAATGGAAATGTGTCCAACACGTCAACATGTAAGTCTCTTAGTTTGGTATTAATGAATTCGTTATAAAGCTGCAAGTGCTCGTCACTTTGATCATAGAATCTCGGAATCTTTAGTAAACCGTGAGCATGTGGACTCACCCACACAAACTTCGGCCATTCTTGCTTCGTCTGCTTGTAGACCTGTACAATTGGTTTCAGGACATGTTCCCACGCATCCTCTTTGTTATACCCACTATGGATACCTTGGCCTAGTAAAATGATTGACCTTTGTTTGGAACGCAGGGTGTTAATCAAAGTAAAGACGGGTCCTGCTTGGTTTGGTAAATTCACCTCTATATGTTTTAAAAGGGTATGACCTTCACACACTCGTTTGATCGTATTGATGCCGTGATTGAGAAACTGAAACGGCCCTCTGTATCGCTTCCGGTTTTCTGAAATAATCAAGTCATCTATGGTCAGTTCATATAGTGCAATCAGAAAATCTCAAAGATAGAGAGGGTCTATCTTTTACGGTATATGTACGTGTTGAATAGGTTTTCTGGTCTGAGATTTTCTAGCAAACTCAAGGCAGTTGACTAATCGGTGGATCCAAGATTTGGGAGTAGGGGGGAGTGCACATAAATCATAAATATCAAAGTATAGGGTGAAAATGCACCTCAGGCAAGTTGTTTTCTAGGATCCGCCCCAGCTCATTTTCATGCAATTACTACTGATGGTGTTTGGGTACTTACTTAATGATTCGTTGGGTCTGAAACTTGAGTTCTCATAATTGTTTGTCAAATGCATTATAGCCATTGTAGTCATCTGTCTCAAATAGGAGTCACCGATGAAATATATCTCAGACCCATAGAGAAGTCTGCAGGATGAGGAGGCTGTGTGATTTTTCACCTGACACCTGGTGTCTCTAGGTTTCCATGTTGCATATTCGGCATGAATCCGCTGCCGCATGTCGAAACAGGTTGGACAGGAACATTCTTCTTCGATTCTGGCAACGCATTGATTGTTGTAACAGCAAGGAGTCTTCCCCAGGGGATCACATAAAGCTCGAAACTTCAAAGCAGGGTGACTTTTAAGGCCGGGAAACCCAACATTCCCACACTGTTTATCTGCTCGCTCCATACTAGCAGAGACCTTGTAGTGAGATCGAGCTTCAATGAGAAACGCGTGGATTTGTTGAGACTCGTTCTTTGTCAATGGGTGGGTAATCCATGACCCTTGTGTCATACACAACATCACATCCGGGCAACTTCCATTGAGCGGAAGTGTGAAGTTACTTTTTTCTGCCGCTGGGAATTCATTTTTTATTTCGTTAGGAGATAAGGTACAAAGTAGGCTGATGAAGATAATGCAGATCACACATGATATCTTCAACACACGGTACATGTTCTGATTTGTGACGTGTCGTGCCTGGTGTTTGAATGGCATCTGGCTGTTCCCTGGAGAACATGGATTTTGTTTCACGATCATTTTCTGAAGCATCATCTGCAAAATAGAGGAGTTGTGCACATTAACAAAGCATCACATAGTATGAGAAATATCTCGCATGACTGTTATGTGAAGATGTGTCCAGCACATCTATATGTATCAGGACCATTTCTCTTGCAAGACCCATATTATTCCATTTGTTGTCTGTTGAAATGGTTAGAATATGTCCGAAATATGTGGTCAAGCCTGAAACAACATTATAAAAAGAAATAACAATGCACGCTAGAAAACAAGACAAAAACCCTTTCCATGTTCATGCGAAACCTCCGCCAAGAGCAGAGAACTATATGATCTTGCATTTATGAATCAATATTAAATAGCGACGTTACCAGGTGTTCGTGGTAAGGTGAACGTAGTTTGCCCGGTAAGTGGCAGCCGTCACAAACTCTAACAAATGCAAGTCAACTTACCACCTGACAACACACCAGAACATGTGCTCCACATCAGGAATGGCATGGTTGTACACACAAATACATTATAATTATGGGAGGCAGAATGATCAGCAGCCTTCGATACAATAGACCACAGTATCCTTCTGTCTCGACTTGAGATGACTGTTGGTATCACCGGACCAGCATTGATGTGGCTTGAGTCATATCTAAAAAACAGAACTCAGTCAGTTGGTGAGACCGTGTCAGAAGATAGGTGGTTATCATATGGCGTTCCACAGGGTTCAGTCCTTAGACCACTCTTGTTTACCATCTATATGTGGCCACTAGGTGATGTTTTCCGGAACCACTACATTGACTTCCAGTGCTTTGCAGGTTTCGCCTCCAGGATTGCATCACTTCAGGACAAGATAACGAAGCTGGAAAGCTGCATCAGTGACATCTGAACTTGGATGAGAATTAACTTTCTCAAACTAAATGACAACAAAACGGAAGTATTCATTGCTGGGCCAAAGCACTTACAGGAACGTATGACAGAATTCTCAGTCAATATTGGACCTGTGAATGTGCCTGCCTCTTCCAAAACCGTCATATCTCGCCTTGACTATGCCAATTCACTTTTGTATGGGATAACAGCTTCCCTGGTTCATCGACTCCAGGTTATATATAACACGGCCGCCAGGATAATAACTTGTTGTCCTCGAAGAGACCACATCACCCCCAAGTTAGGAGAACTACATTGGCTACCTGTTGCTAGACGCATAAAAGTCAAGGTGCTCACCATTATCTACAAGTGCCTGAAGACCAACACTGCTCCATCTTACTTGTCATCTCTTCTTAACAACCATAGACCAACAAGAACTCTTAGATCACAAGATAAAGATCTGCTTATCACCAGACCATCAACGACCAAATACGGGAAACGCTGCTTTGAATGTGCACCTCCCATGCTATGGAACAACCTCCTTATGTCGTTAAAATCCGCTCCAAGTCTACAAACTTTTCGTAAACATCTAAAGACACATCTATTTGAAATGAAATAGACCGAACTGCACAAACACCTGTGAGCAGTCTAGCTGGAACTCGGCGCTATAGAAGTAGATTATTATTATTATTATTATTAATGATAATTCGAGTAAGGCTAGCCGTGCGTTTAGCATGACATACATTCTCTTGGCATAGTCTCTTGAAGCATCTCATCTAAGTTCTTATGCTGTGTGCTGTTAATCTTGAAAGTGATTATTGGGTTTTCTGTGGTGGAGATGTGTACACCGGCATGGCGTGATATTACGATATTTGAGCAAACACGTTATTTTTGTACACACAAATGCATTGTAATTATAGAAGGTTGAATAATTGATTTTGGCAACTACAGACCGGTTCTGAGTAGTCTCTGATTATAATGAGAGTAAGGGTACCGTACGTTTAGCATGGCATATGTTCTCTTAGCATAGTCTCTTGAAGCATCTCATCCAAGATGCTTTTTAATCGGTGATAGGGGATTATTTGTGGCGGTGATGTATACACCTGCATGGCGTGAACCCAGGTATGATACGGGCCTGTGATGGTGTACACGTGTACATGTGGGACAGCCCAGCTTTCCTTCATACTGTCTGCTTCCTTGTTCTGATGTTGTAGAGCTTGTTCTGAGTCTTCTGATAGCAATTAAAGACTATCAAATCATTTGCGTCGCTTGGAATTGGGCATCACATTCAGTATATAGTCCGGTCAGGTAGAAGATGTAACCTGTCACAGGTTCCTGTTGATGATTCATGTTCTTGTATCCTTGCATCAAGGACATGTTGGGGATGTCGGTACAACCTCGCTGTCAGCTCTTTAGCAGATTAAGTGAAAAGACACTTCATTTCAATGTTGTAAGTACGTTGCGTAATTCCTGTAAGTATTCAGTATAGTCACAGGTGGTCTTACTACTAAGAGTATGCCTAGTCTATATTACACCCGAAGAGCCGTTGAGCGGGTCTTACTACTATGTGTACGCCTAGTCTATACTACACATGAAAAGCCATTGGCTGCTGAGGCAGCTCTCAATAAATCAGTGACACCACTTCTTATTCCGTACTCTGATTACAAAGCTCTGATTAGATCGTACACCCGTGATCTGATGCAAAAAGTAGGACTCCAAAGTAGACCTGTATCAATAAATTACATCAAACTAAACCAACTATCGGTCACACCTTCTTGATTTGTCAGTCCAGATATAAGGAGGTCATTATGCGACGTTATACCACTAGGGTATGTTATGTCCATTGTTCTGGCAGGTTGATTTTCTGTGTATCAACCTTCTATCTGCACGTGCAGAGGTTGATATGTGGATAACAACCTTGGCGGTGCAGGAAACGCACGTGCAACAAGCAATGTACGAGTCCATTCGGCGCCCACGTGGTATAAGTAGGGCTCGAGCGTTGAAATCCATATCACCCTTGAGGAGGGTGCTAACGTATACATATCGCATACACGATATGCACATAAGTACTTACTAAAAGGTGAGGATCCTCCGTTCTGTATCCCTTGTGATTAGAGAATCACGGTCAAACATGTCCTGCTTGACTGTATTGATTTTTCCATCACAAGTGATAACTTAAAGTCTTTCAATGTAAAAAAACTGTTAAGGATCTTTTTAGTACTTAAATTATTATTTAATTATTATTTAAAAAAAAAAGAATTGATTTAATTCATAACTTTTGATTGAAATGTTTTGTAGATGATGTATTTTAATGATTGGTAGTTTAGATTAGCAACTTAGATTGTTAGTGGCTGTCTCCTCGAGGAGGGTTAAAGTATTGTAAACTTATTGTCTTTCTGAAAGGGTACGTAAGTTTCGAAACATTCAAATGAATTTTATAATTTACCAGCTGTTTTAAATGTAGTATTTTTGTCATTTTATTTTTGGCTAAATTTGACTACAATCGCCAGATGCTGAAGAGTTGATATAAATCCAGCTTCCATGCAGGTAGCAGAAGTACTGTAAGTCCACATGGTCTCTAGTATGGTGATCAACCTTCAGTTGCTGGTGATCTATTGCCGTTTATTTATATTGTACTGTTGTCTCTAATGATTTAGTTTTATGATAGCGTACTAGTTTTAAATTAAGAGCTGTGATAATCTAGTATCTTACTGTCCTTCGATGACAGGTTTGTACGTTCTAAATTTATTGAGTTTACTATCGATATAAATTAAATTGTTCTCGTCTCGATATGGCTGCAATATTGCCGATGTGACGCTGAATATTAACTCACTCACTCACTTACTGAAAAGCCATTGAGCGGCGAAAGATCTTCTGCACAAAGAGGGTTTTGACCACAATATCTGGACACGATCTTGATATGATTTACACTCATGCACCCGCAGAAATCACTTGTTTTATAGAATTTACGGTGTATACAGTTCAAGATGTCCAGAACAGTTATAAAGTCAAAATCATCCGTTGAAAACAACGACTGTGACGAATTATACTGAAGACTTGCGGAAGTCAGTGAGAAGTTGGAAATAGCCAACACCACTTTACAAGAAATTCCAAAGGACTACAAGAAGACAAATATTGCAAAAACTGATGTCTTGAAAGACAGTCAAGAAAATGGGATAAAAGAAGTAGAAAGGGGCCTGTAAGTCTCGCGAGGCGCTACTTCCGGCACTAAGCTGCTTCCCGGCTCCCTTGGTTCGAGCCAACTTGCGATATGCGAGACGGGACCCAGCTTACTTCAGATTTCCGGTGACAAGCGTATATTCAAGAACCAGTTCTGGTTCCAAATTGCGCGACCGCCAAATATGACTTTACCAGACGGACCAAATGTGCGTAGTTTGTCTCAGAGTACCGTGACCTACTTACTATTTCTAAAGGTATGTGAAACCTTAACTGAAAAAACCCCAAAACATTACTATGTTTTTAAACTGAAGCATATCTGAGAAAAAATCGCATGTATTCTAAAGTTTTCAAAGTTTTCAAAAGGAAATAAAGACTGTTAAACAAACAAAACAATCGCGAACTCTCAATAAACGAAGACGGAAACAGAGAGCGGGACATTCTTCCATTTCTTTGTAACTACAATCCTAATCACTGTAAGGTTATGCCGATCACAACAGCATAAGAGTGATACAATGAAAAAATATGTATCTGAAAGCAAATTTCTGTGGTAGAGTGCAATTCTGTACATACTGGTCATGTTACATAACTGTTGTAAATCATGTCATTTGTATATTTCAGACAACTAACATTATTTACTGTATTAATTTCAGATTTACAAAGCAGCCATCTTCATTGATGTATCAACAATAATCAAACCTCACATTTCAGGCTGTATAAGATATTTAAGCAGTTGTAAGTTAAGTAACATTATTAAAGCCCCTCTCTTTTGTTACGTTATTCTCAATGGGTCAGTTCATTTCTGTGTAGAGTAGGTCGGTAAACTTTGGTTATTAATCAAAGTAGAAGACCAGGCACATTCATGACTGGCGAGTTTTGAATAGGTGTCCTACTTTCAAACTCATTGTTTTCACCTGTGCACTCACTCATAACCGCTACACGCTGCACGGGGACAGAGAGACTGGATCAGGAATGTTAAGGTCATTAGTTGGTATTATTGCATTCTATGTGTAACAGTCTAATATATAAGTCAATTATGTAAATGTCAGTATCAGAATAATATGGTAATTAAACTTGTTACATATGTTAATGTGTATGACGGGTGTACGAGAAACACCGTGTTTGATTGTGTGGTTGTGTTGGTCTGTAAATATAAAAGTACTGATAGTATGTTTATATCATGAACAGGTTGCGGCGAGGACTTTTATATCAGCCAGAACACACCAGTGGGATTCTCAGGATATATATTCTTTGTATCATAAATATATGATACTGAATACTTAAAGAACTGAATAGGATATCACGCTTATTCTACCATATTTGGGGCGGTGGGGTAGCCTAATGGTTAAAGCGTTGGCTCGTCACGCCGAAGACCCGGGTTCGATTCCCCACATGGGTACAATGTCTGAAGCCCATTTCTGGT